AATAACGAGTATAACAATAAAATAGAAGAAATAAAATGTCACTAACAGGAAAAAAAGTAATTAAGATATTTTTAAACAAGTTTTTCCAAAAAGCAGATTGCTATTTAGATTAAATTTTCACAATTTGTCTCTAATTATTCGATTATTCTAATGTCTACTGGAAGACTACAATGAGTTAATAGTCCTCTGTAAAGCTAATTATCACTCAATCGCTAATTATCACGTACGCTGTTGAGAACTGAATAACCTAGAGACAGTCTAAAATCATTAAATAACAAAAAAAAAGTACAAAATAAAATATTCGCTTTTAAACATTACCTTTTCTGTGCATTATAAATTCTCAACCAACTGTAATAATCAACCATAATAAATAACAGCCGTCAATAAATAATTTTGATATCAATAAATTTTGCAACAACAATCCCGATATTTTTTAATCAGAAATAATAATCGACAATTAATCCAAATATATATTTTAATAACGAGCATCCGACTACGCGAGAGTACGAGTAATAAATGATAATAAATAATAATTTATAATAAATAATAATTAAATTTTACGTATTAATTTCTCGTAATATATCCCGGAATAATAACCGCGATAATATTCGTAGCTCATGTCGATCGCAATATCTCGCAGCCCTCGGTCATCCTTTAGGTTGCCTCGTGCGGATATTGCGTTTTGCTATTTTATTATTTCAGTATTTTTACCCGCGACGGAAACGCATTTATATCGCAGCGGTGGTTTCACTCTCGAGGTTACCTGGCGGAAACGTGTGCCTTTTCTATTGTACGCACCGCGGGGGTTTTCGATCCCCGGCTCTCTCACGCAGGTTACCCTGCGATCGATGCCCTCCGAGAGGGAAAACGTCAAATTTACGACGCGGCATGACTCAGCTGGACGATTCATGCATAATTTATCCGGACTTAATTAGTCAGAGGTCAGAGAGAAAGAGAGAGAGAGAGAGAGAGAGAGAAAGCGAACCGGAAAAATGCTTTCCACAAATATGTACATTCGTAACTTTTCAAACATTGTAACTTCTGTGCGTTATAAATTCTCAACTAATTGTAATAATCAACCATAAATAACAACCGTAAATAAATTTTGCAACAACAATCCCAATATTTTTTAATTAGAAGTAATAATTGATAATTAAATCCATCGTTGTTAAGTAAATCTCATATAAATTTGTATAAATGATTTAGCCTCTCTCCGCTTGTTATGTAGATTACGTGCGTTAATAGTTTCCCTGTCTTCCTCGATTTCTCTCTGTTCGATTAGAATGAATGCGTAACGACCGGGAATGACTTTAACAAGGAAACTTTCGCAACTGTCTCTCTTGGAGTTCATGGAGCTCCAAGTGTATATCGTGAAGTAGCTTGCGACGAGAGACGTGCATTTTCTTCTTCGCTTACTATATAGTACAGTCTTAGAGGTTGAAACTAAGGACGAAACTATAAATGAACGTTTGAGACAGAAGTTTCACATTGAAAGCGCTTTGTAATATTATACATTTAGATTTTTCAAGTAAATTGTAAATTGTAAGAAAATCTTCATTTTCCTCCGGAACTATTCGTGAAATTTACATCTGTACTCACGAAAGAACAAAATTTCAAATTAACTTTATGAAAAGCTGTTTCAGTTGCAAGAATAATCTCCATTAAAATTCACATTTTTTTCTTACTAAAATTATATTAAACTAGATTAAAAAGTCGTAAAAGAAATAATAGTTGAAAGGAATAGTTGTAAAAATTTCGTTATAAAATTATGCATTTTAAGTTTTTACTTACGAAAGTTGTATGTATTGTAGCAAAAGTTTCCAATTCTTACAATAGGGAATCATTTCCGTTTACGTATTCAGTAAGTAGTCAATGCAGAATTTTTCGCCAGGCGCTTCCCAAAGGTTCTCGAACGAACACGCGACCCAAAAGGGATCCGTTAGCCATCGATGGGAAGATAATCTGTAGACAATCTGTCGACATTGCTACGCGTGTTTCAGCTTCAGGGATATATGTGTAGTTAAATTGAAGTTGAAATTTGCAAATTTATTTTAATGCGAGGAATAAATGGACACAATTCTCGTTTAGACTTTTACTACTATGATTTAAGACGTAGAAAATTAAGTAAAAATGTACAAAATTAAAAATTAGAAAAATTATTATAAAATTGTCACAACATAAATAACGTCAATTTTTACGCAGAAATTAGAGTTTTATGTTTATTTTTTATTGTTATCATAACATTTTTTAATCTGTAATTATATTGAAGAAAACTAAATCAGAAAATAATAGATTATTTCCTTAGGAATTCGCAGAACCATAGTAACTGTAAGACACTTGAAATTTTTGGACCTGTCCTCAATAACATACAGAAAATTCTTATATTTTTAATAAATTTTATGTTACAGATTCATTTTTAGGAAACGATTGAACAGAAAACTGTATCAATTTATTCCTTTCCCTAAAAAATAAATTTGCAAATTTTGTCTACAATTCAATTATACGATATGTAATAACAAGGTTACGGAGCCAAGCCGATTGTTGATGCTCTCTTAGTGTGTATTTACAACATTAACATAAAAATAATAAAGTTGACATTTATTATTAAAAATAATAAGACGTTTTGACTTTTTCACATCAGACCATCTTCAGTGTCACAAAATAAATTAGTATTATATACGCAAACGTTTAACACTGTGTTCCAATGTCCACCCTATCAATAGTACATCAAATTTCTATAGACGCAACGTATTCGTATAATGATGTTGATGAATCTTTGGGAGTACGACTCCATGTTCAGTACCATTCATATGCATAAAGAGATTATCATGTATATGATATAATTTATAACTGCCTTTTTTGTAAATTGTTATATAATCGGCAGATTTCTGTCTTAGTTCACCGTTTCGACAATAATAAATTATAAATTATATCATATATATGAGAATCCCTTTATACATATGAATGGTATTGAACATGGAGTCGCACCACCAAAGATTCATCAACATCATTATATGAATACGTTGTATTCTAATCTATATTGTATTGTAATCTATAGAAATTTGATGTACTATTGATAGGGTGGACATTGGAACACAGTGTTAAACGTTTACGTATGTAATACTAATTTATTTGGTGACACTGAAGATGGTCTGATGTGTAAAGGTCGAAACGTATGTCTTATCATTTTTAATAATAAATGTCAACTTTATTAGTTTTATGTTAATGTTGTAAATACACACTAAGCATCAACAATCGGCTTGGCTCCGTAGCTTTGTTATTACATATTGTTAGAATTTATTTGTTGGAGCCTATATCGAAATTGAAGCTTAAAATTCAATTATACAAATCTTGTATTCCTCCTTAAAGCCGAGTTACTTTCAATCGAGAGCAAGCTTACGTTCTCAGCGAACGACACTGCGAGCTCGTATACCAGCCGCGTGTACATTCGGTCGATCTTGAACACAGAATTGCGGTAGGTATATACAGCGTTTGATGTACGGTGCGATGTAAATTTCTAGATAGAGATCGATATCGCGCAGGGCTCGTATGGCACAAACTGTTTTTATAGCGTTCTCTCGTGAGAGCCAAAGGCAAAACTAAAGTTTCCATGCAAGTACAACTTCGATTTTTAGAGACGTTCTATTTCGTGGACGTATACCGGCCTCGTGTAACAGCTGTAACGTATATGTAATAAGACCAGACGTCCCGCTTTCGAGATGATTGTTTCGCTGTTCCGCCAAATATGTCAATATACATATATATATATATAAAATTGTATTATTTCTTAAAAATAAATTATTGTATTTGTCTTTACATTCATACATTCTTTCAATATAAAATTGTCTCGCTTTGGATTTGAAAATATTTAATTTTTTTACTGACTGTAAAAATAAATAAAGAATAAATTTGACATGTATGTAAAGATTACAGAGCACAATCTAAAGAAAATTAAAAATATATATAAAAAATGATAATTGTATGAAATTATTAAGTCTGTCGAAAATTCCTTGTAAATTCGACAGAGCAACAAAGACATCGTCTTGCGACAAAGGCATCGTTTTTATATTATATTTTATTATATGTGTGCGAAGAAATAATAACATTGAGAGCATATATTATCATTTACGCGTATCGCTTTCGTACCAGTTTGATCGTCAAGCTTTATTAAACTGGAGTCGTATCATTCCCATGATTACTGATTTATTTGCCGATCGCGTTTCTCGGTATTAGGATCAGTTACCGCGTGCATGCTTATCGTGCGCTAGGACTCGCGTCGAGTTCCATATAGTTGTATAGTCGGATGATTCATTACTATGCCGATGAGAAAATGAAGGATAACGGCACGCAAATGCGAAAGATACCCAAACAAATCTTAAATCACGTAGGTTCGTTTTTTTAACGCGAAAGTTGCTTTTTCTTTTCGGAAAAAACGAGCTTTCCGAGCTTTTCTTTTTGCGATATCCTGTCGAAGTGTAAGCAATCATCCGGAAAAGACATATCGATTTCCGACCTTTCAATCATTCGTAAAAATTTCCGATATTATTATACACTTATCCGAACGCGAGCTGCAATTCCTGCTTTGATTACACTTCAACTAAATTCTAATTAATTTAGATTTAATTCTAACGGTACAGTGTCTTTAGAATTAACGCATCTAAAATTAACATTCTTAATAATAATTTTTTAAAATTATAATTTAATTTTCATAACGCTAAAATAGGATTAGAAAAATTAAGAATATGGTAGAAATTGTAAGTTAAAAATAAAAGTTAATAGATGTACATAGACAATAATTTTAATAGGTAGACAATAAGACCATCTATTTTAACGTAATCGCATTTCTCTACAATGCCTCTATTGTCATTTGTATTAAAAGGGATCACTTGAGCAGCAATTTACTTAGAGAGAGGCGTTTTAATATCCTAAAATAAGTTGTTAAGAAGATCGTCGGATAAGTAGAATGACAAATCGCTCATCGCACCACTTTCTGTTTGCAGCTTCGACGAGACGTCGATGGACAGCTGTATATTGGCTACTATCGACGAGGGCCGCCGAGTCAGTGACTTATCGGGCGAGTCGATGAAGGACAGTAACGAAGTGGAAGTGACGTCATTGGAGGAAGCCAAGTCGGTCATAGCGGCACTCAGAGCGAGACAGCGGGCACAAGCCCACCAAATGCTCGCTTGGCGAAGGACCCTTAAATTGCAGGTAAGTTTCAATTACCAGGAAGGATTTCTACATGCAAAGGCAATCCCACTTGCAGTCTTCGACGAGGAAATCAGTCGGGAGGAACGTAGGACGATCGATCAAAGCTATTACCTCTGAAAACCATAAAACACGCTCAGCCCACGGACTGATGTTACAAACAGTGAAATATTAGATACATGGTGATCCATTTAGACGCGAAGAGGCACATATTTTTGTCGCTTTACGAAGCGAACGTGTAAATATTTAAAACAAACGTTATATGTTTACACATAGATACTGTAATTGGAAAATATCCATTAAATCAAAATCAAGGCTGAAATTAATTGGAAAAAAAAACAAGTTTCATCAGACAGTTTGTTAATCAAAAGTTTAACTTTTGCTAGAAATATCCTTTGTTTTTAAGCATTTTCGGAAGATTTTTATGAAAAATCTGAATTATAGTTTTCCATCCGAGCATGAAATACATTTTGGAATTGAACATTCTATCCAATTCATATCCAATTTGAACTCCGGAGCTAAAACACAAAGCTATTGACGCAAAGAAATTAATATGGATAAGATTTCGGAGACTGTTGATACGCGTTTGAGCGATGCTCAACACTTTACAGTCCATGGAATCTTACTCGCATTGAATTTTTTGCGTCGATTTTGTTCTGCATTTTGGCACTGGAGCTCAAATTGAACAGGTCTGCGTTAGACCTATAATGATGCCAATGGGAAAGATAAATTCCAGCAGGTAAGCGAAACGGTACTGCCGTTACGAGTCATTGCTGTAAAGAGATTTCCGAGCATTTCTGGGATAAGCCCGGAGCGTCTCGTGACATCCTACGATTTCGCGTCTGACTTTGCGTGACTAGAGGTAATTCTCGGTTTGCGAGGGTAAACCCCGCGAGAAAAAAAAAGACTCCTACTAAATTTGCTGGCAATCTGCGAAGGAATAATTGCTACAAAATGATCTTCTTTCTCCCTTAGCCGGCGCCGGGAAAAATACCAGCGGGACGGCCGATTATCAAATAACAACTTTCCCACATACTTTTATCGAATTTAAATGGAGAAATGTTAATACTTGATGAGTTCATTTCGGTAGTAAAAGACAATTTTTCGTGATATGTCTATGCACGCATATTGCGCAGATATGTTACGAAATTCAATTTTAAAAGAAAATTTTCGAATAGAACTTTCCATTTTTGATAATCATCTATTTAATTTTTGTACGTTTTCTATTTCTTTTTGTAAAAATTTATTTTTCTTTAATGTGGTAATCAGTGAAAATAGAGAAATGTGTATTCTGAACCGGAAAAAAGAAAAAGACAAATATGAGATTCATAACTAAGGTTTTTCATATTTAATATATATTGTCACATCAACTTGATATATTTATTGCCATATGTAAAACAATATTCTTATTTCCTTTCTCTTCGTAAATACGAAAAATTTAAATTTTTAAGACCGTACCAAAGTCACCTGTGTTGCGGCCTTTATTTTTTTATGAAAATATGAATAATGATTATATGAATATGATATATATGAATAACTCTACGTGAATTTTTAATTATTTTCCATTACACGTTGTTTAAAAAATGATAATTTAAATTTTATTTGTCTTTAATTTAAAATACATTAATACGGACGATTATTACTTTAAAACTGACCACACAGTAATGGATTGATTTACATTTGGACACACGTAGAAATAAAAAATAACAAAATGTTATTTAACTCCAGGGATTGGGTTATCGTTGCTTTTTCGATATCTAACAATAAAAGAAATGTCTTCTTGCTTCCCTTTCCTGAATGCAGAATCTGTCTATTAATCGGTCGTTCACATGATGCGTCTATCGGCCAAACGTGTCAATTATTTTCCGCGTCTATCTTCAAAGTGCGTGACACGCACCGGCGATAGCACCTGGTCGTCTTACGGTACCGTTTATATTGCACACAATAGCGAGAGTAATGGACTCATCCTCCATGCGTGCGGGAGGACGGAAGGAAGGAGACGCGAGCAATGCTCATGCAAAGCGGTCGGCCGGATACGTATGACGTGTAGGTATACCGTGCATCGTTGTGCAAACATGCAGCTTCACGCATGTATATCGACGCGTACAGAGGAAACGCGTGCAGCGGAACGGCACGTATCTGCCGTTCACGCATACTGATAACGTGCTTCGCGTAAAGCAAGTGGACTCGAGAGATGTTTGCACAAATACGCATGAACCGATGCGCGATGTTTGATAAAAAAGAAGAAAAAAAAAATACGATTCAACACTATATCGTCCTAATGAGCGATATCCATTCGAACGGTATTTACCGGCAAACGAGATGAGAAAACCGGGGAAATTAATTAACAGCGCTAAACAAATATTAATAATAATAGCAGCGAGAGATCGTTTGCTAATTAATTACTTAATATTGAAAGTAAATGGCGAAATGCCGGTTGATTTCGCAGCCACGAATTCGCGCCGTTATTAATTACTATACATGAATTATCGGGTGAAGAGCCCGCTGCAGTTTATTGTACTCGCGAATTAATGAGAAATTTAACACTATCGATTCGTTCAATTTTGTTATCATGACGTTTCGCAGGAGGACCTGGTGGCTCGATTGACGCGGGAAAAAGCTGAGCAGTTGCGGACGTTGTCGTCGCAACTTCTGCTGTTCGAGTCAAGGCTCTGCAGGAAGCAGAAGGAAATCGAAGCCAGTCTGAGTCAGCGAGAATCCATTATTTTACGACAACAAAGGGTGATCAGGCAATTGCAGAACAGATTGGCGGAGAGGAGCACGAGCACTCGGGACTCGCCACCTTGCGACGCCCTGGACAGATTAGACAGTCTCGGGGATAGCGACAGCGCCGTTGTGCTCGAGGAAACCGCGGACGATCCTGCCCCACCAAGGTGAACATTTTAAAAATAGGTTTACACACACATCAGCTATATCGTCTATGAAATTAAGAGTTTTTACTGCGTCTGTGCAATAATGGAATATAAGGACACGAAAAGTAAGAATAAAAAGTGCACTGGAAAAAAAAAGTTGTATCAACAGCATTATTTTAATTGAAAATAATCTTGAGCGCGAGCGTGGCATGGCAGACAGCACACTGGTCTATCATGTCAGAGGTCCCAATAGGACCATTGGATTCGATCCCAATAGGAACCAAAATATTTACGTTCATGTCTCCTCTCAGACAAGGCCGGCAACCTCTCTCCCGAGAATATCCTTGCCCACAGAAACACCTCTCGAAAAATTCGCCGTTCGGAACCGGCATTAAAACTGTAGGTCTCATATGCTCGTGGCAATTGAATAATCAGCATGCGCACCACAAGCATATGAAAGAGTTGTATATATATATATATATATATATATTTTTTTTTTATATTTTTTGGATTAATACAATTAAATATATATATTTTATATTTTGTCTTTCTACGCTCTTAATTGTTCATTTGTCTCGTATGTGCCCTTCATATCTTTGTATTGTTTTAAAAAAAATTAAGAGTCCTGTATTTCTTGTTATTTAAGTATTAATGAAACAAAATTTTACTAAACAAGCGCATAACATACTTGTTTCATTAATGCTGTCATTGAATCAACAAAATTATTTTTAATTAAAATAATGCTGTTGATACATCATTTTTTTTCAGTATGCAAAAGCAAAAATATAAACAAGATTCAAATATGCTGAAAACTTTCAGCGTGTTTAAATTTTGTTTATATTTCTTAATTTGAATTTCTTTGGAAAAATGTCGTTTTCAATGTGATTGCGACCAGTACAGACTGCATTGGAATGATATTAAGAATAATGATAAATAGTTTAAAAAATACTTATTTATGCCGGTGTATAATAATTATATTGAAATACGTTCAAAATTTCTATGATAAAGTTGCAATGTATCTTAAGGCGATGCTAAAGCCTCCTGTTTTACCCACATTTCCATTCGGTGAAAAATCTCCGTGTTGGATGTATGGATTGCAAAAGTATTATTACATAAATTAAAGCACAAACAGGACCTCAGCTGCACTGGATTTCATGAGAAAATCGAAAAAAAATTTTAAATTCGTTAAAAATTCACTTACTTTTCGCAGAGTTTATCTAATATACAAATCAAAATATTAATAGATATATACACATAAGAAAATACATGAAGCTCTATAAATAGAATTCTCCCAAATTCTTTCACAAATTATAGATCATCTATAATTGATTTTATATATATTCTAATTGTAATCCACAGATTTCGTTCTAACATTACTGATGTAACTGTGATCCGTTCCGTGTCCGATGCAGTGGAACCGTCGAACAAGTATTCGTCAATGCGACGTTGCAACGGTTTTCTCAGAAGACCGGAGATTCTGGAAACCGTGTATTCCGTGGAGGAAGACGGTGACAGCGAAAATAATCAAGATCCGTCGGAATCGACAGAGAATTCGGAATACGAAGACAGGAGAATGAAAAACTTAGGCAACGGAAAGGGCAGGCTTCAGGATCTGTACGGCAGTTTCGAAAGGTTGGCTCAAGACACAGATTCTCCACCTAGCGAAAGACCCAGGGACGAAAGCCAACAGGCGCAGGTAACAGAAACTATTTGAAATCTTATCGGCATATAAGAGAATTTGATTTATTAGAAAATATTTGTGAAATATTCGGATTGAAACATCCTAATGAAAAAAAAGTAATACAAGATTTACATAAACTTAGAATGTAATGCAAATTATACTCTAATTTAATATATTCTTTATTTAGATTTTCCTCATGTTTAACTTTAAAATCCACGCTAGTACGTATAAATTGATCTTTCCATAAGAAATCTATTTATCCTTTCAGGTGACATACAATAGGGTAATGAGCAATCACAGATCCGTGACGAAGCCAAAAGACGTGAAGTACAAGAGGATAAATAAGGCAAAATCGAAAAGTCTTGAAGAACTTAGAGGACGTCTTAGAAATTGGGTCGAGAAAGGAAATAAAATAGCTATATCGTTGGATCAGTCATATGCTTGAGCTTACTACCCCTATATATGAAAGTATATAAATTATTATTTTATGAACGAAAACGTGTAATGCCCAAAATTATAATTCTATTTGTAAGATTAAGGAATGGACTTTTATCTTTAGTAAAGTCGCTACTGTATTTAATTGAAATATCATCGCTCCATGTGATATTTACTGTAATATTTTGTCATGTTAATTATACACCTAGATCAAAGATAAATGATTCGAAACTTGTGATATGATTTTATTATATATAAAAGCGCGTAGTTAAGAAGAATTTATTATCTGGCGAAGAAATAAGTAACTCTTAAGTATTATAATAAAATTTTATAACAAATATTGTATATAATTTCCATCTGTTTTTATTTATGTTATAACAAATTCTTCAAATATTATTACGATTAAACATTTATCAATAGTATTCTTATATCATTTTTTCGAAATTAAACATAGCATTAAAAAATCTGAAAAGCAATATTAAGTATATTAAAAGCGTGAAAAGTAAATATAATCTACTAAGATTCAAAACAGATTTGCGATTCATTTATATTATGATACTTAAGGGTTAACATAAACTTGAAACGTAACATGCGTCTATGAATTGCGCATGAATATTTTTGACTCTTCTTTCATTGATAATAAATATTAACTTGTGTGACTATATTCTAAATGTGTACGAGAAAAACTTTAAGCGGCCTAAATATTGATGAGTTACAAATATAATAATAAGTGTACATCTTTGAGCATCAAGAAAGTTCACTATTAACATGAAAATGTTAAACATCACGCACGTTTCTCTGCACATACTTAATTACTTCAAAATAAGATATTTTTTTACTATTAAATGCTACTTATTATAATTATCCTCAGTTCAGAAAGATATATTATATCATGTTTTACTGTAGAAAAAAAAAATTTAGAATTAAATCCTTCCTGTAACTTGAAATAACTTAGAAATTATACCGAGATTTCTCTATTAAACAGAGGCATATATTGAGAACGAATTTTTAAAAGATTTTTTTTTATTAAAAAGTTTCTTTTTTAAAAGTCACATAAAATATATAATTAAGAAAAAATATAAACTAAATGCTCTTGATAATCCATTCAAATATACTATTATTTGTGTGCCTATCTTTCTATAAACAAATATTGAAGACAATGTATTCTTAATACATATATATAAAAATCATTATCTTGATGTTTACTTAAAATCTTAAGAATCTTAAAAATGATAATCACATCATGTGTGAAGCAAAATATATTAGATATTTTTGATTAAATCTTTTTACATAAAAATTGAAAATTTCTATTTAATGCATCGCATTGATCCAAAGAATCTGTATTTATAGTTAAAATCCAATTGCTTAATTGTTAAAAAAAAACTCCTATAATTATATTGTTCTACTTTAAACATTTTCGATAATCTAAGCAACAAAATATTTGTTTAAAATCGAAAATTTGAATGAACAAAATTTGCTGTGCTCCTACACATTAAATTAAAGTTTTATAAAATTTAGGTATATTTTATTGTATATATAAAATTCTAAAGCTACATGTACTTTTATATTGAATATAAATTCTGACGTGCTGCGACTATATACATCGTATATGGCAGCGTTTTATAAAGAAAACATGTCTTCGTAATCGTACTGTTTATAATGATATTTTTACATGCACACGCATTTTACCGTTCTTCTCATAAAGTAGAAAAGTACGCTCGAAAATTATTGTTTTGGTACAAATTGCTTGCGATGTAAGTGCAATTTCTCTCCATTTTGAATGCATCTATTCATCTTTCATTATCGTGTTTTTGAGCAGCCGGGTATAAGAAAGCTACCGACAATCCGTATTTTTGCAAGCCTAAAGAAAAAGAAGAAACAAGCGAATGCCTCTGGCAGTACCTTTGTAAATAATTGGAAATATGGACGTAACGTTCATACTAGATATAGATTCTGCAATAGTTATATATATTATGTAGATAGACTTATTATATATATTGAAATAATAAATTGTAATATTTTATTGTATTTTGAGTTTAATGTTCCTGTGGACTGAGCAACAGTCACCGAGAGATCTCGTGCATAGTATATTTGCACGCGCTTATAAATGCATATGCATATAAAAAATATGGAGATATATATATATAAATATATAAATAAAGTATATATATATGTCGAGATAGTGTAATATGATGAGTCTACTTAGAATGATGCAAAAAAATAAAATTTTTGAGGTGCATAAGCCAACCATGTGAAATTAAGAGTCACATTGGCTTATCATAATCCGAGTATACACGTGCAATGGCGCTTCAGCACAGAAAAAATTGATAATTATTTTAATTTATATAAACTCGTATAACGTGTATGCTGTCGCTTTACTAGGAAATGAGTAGACTGCTATCGATATTCTGTCACGTAATTATTTTAGTTATTATTAGATCCCAAATAAATTATGTCAATGGAAGACGCTGATAGTGTATTTATTATCATTCCTACCTTTTCCAATTATTTCCCGTTATATTAAATGTTACATATCGCATAATATATAATATATATATATTATATAATACAAATCTCTCGCTTCTTACAAAGAATATTTGAAACCAACAATGAGACGCTATTAAAGATTTTATATGTGGCCTTATATGATTTATTTAATAGTATTCAATTCATTTGATAATGACTGCAATTTTATCGAAGAAAAGGGACTGTAGATTTAATAGCATATTTTTATTTTTTATACACATACACATGTGTATATTTTTTAGGATATGTAAAAATAAACACAGATACACATGTGTAAATGTGCATTGCTTATGAGAAGAAATACAATATTATCGTAACAGTGCGGCAATTTAAAAAGATTATTTTAACAAGAATGATCTTTTTGTTATATATATTTATATACATACCTGATAAGATAACTATAGATTTGACGTCATTTGCACACCATTTCCGTTATATTTAAGCAAGAAAATAATAGTGTGAGGTATGAGAAGAACAGTCAGATTTTCGAAATTCAGTTTGCTGATATCTATACTATATATAATATATCTACTGATTCTATGTACATTATACATACACATATATGTATGTAAAATTGAAATTGTATTTCTGTCGATTCTTCAAAATCTTATATTAATCGTTGCTTTTATTTTCTTTATTTTATACATTACATTTTATCGCCTATGTTAAATAAATTAATTTTTTGAAAGAAGGAAACGCAAATTTAAATGAAAATATTTTCTGGAAAAACGTAAACTATAATAAGAACATGACAAGTTCATTTCCATTCTGTTATCAAAGAAACCTCATATACGCGCAATACATTTTATCGCCTATTTTAAATAAATAAATTTTTCATAAATGGTGATTTCATAATATTGTTTGTAAATACAGGGTGTCCGATAATTATTCTGACGGAGTTTGAAATATTAAAATAGTTTATAATTATTTGAATTTTTATAATTAGCTTTTCTTTGTACGGTTAAAATGAAAATATAAATAATTGCAATATGGAACATATTATAAGTTTAATATTTTATTTATACATAAAATTTGTATGAAATAATGAAGAAGTATAATTTTCAATATGGAAATCTATATTTTAAAAAAAATTATTTATAACAATAATATAAAAATAATTATTATGTATAATGTGGAATACATGTTACAAATAATTATTGAATTTTAATAAAAATAGCGTTTCAAAATTTATGCCGCTTAATTTTCCTTTTAAACTAACACATTCGCTAGTAAAATCTTTGTTTTTTTTTTCTGTTCAAAGACACAAAGTTACTGATAGTTGCGCCAGACTAGTAAAAACCGATTGTTAATTTAACTTATCTTATCTTATCTTAAGTTCATTCATTGTCTAATGTTCATTTATTTTCTATCCATTTATATTTGTCTAATGATATTTATTTTTTAATGTTTATTCATTGTTTAATGCTCAAATTTTATAGAAGTAGAGAATATTAGCGCTTTTAAAGAGAGACAAAAAGTTTTTTTAACTTATTAGAAAAAAGTTAAGTTAAAAATTTAATACGTTTACAATTATGTGTTAAAAATAACTAAGAAAAATTGAAAGTTAATTCATATAGAAATAATTAAGTTACAAATTATTAATTTTTTAATCTTAATATCTAACTTTTAATTTTTTTTACTAGTTACTACCCAATGGGTGGTTTTATATATAATACGTAGTATTTTGCAAAAGATAGACGCTGGATTTTTGGCAAAAGATAAAAATTGAATATTCTCAAACGAATCTCAAACGAATGTTGACAAGATATAACATAAAAAGGATGTAAATTCTGGTTAAAATAAGTTAATATAGCATCATTATTACATATCAGCATACACATAAATATTATTATAAGTCGTTCCTAATATAGCGTTTATTAATTATGTAAGCTCATTTTCAGTTTTAAAGAATTAAATTCTAAAAAGACAAGGTATACATAAATTAATGCTATGTACTGTTTTTAAGGTACTTTCACGATTCATTTTAAAGAACTCCGCACTAAATATATGGTAAATTGTAGGGTATTAGTAAATTAAGTTAGTTTTCCTATATAATGATGCTTAATCTAATAAATAAAAAAATATATGTCATAAACATCAATAATGGACATTTTCTGAGTTATAATATAACAAAAGTGTGAAACGACTTGTACTTTACAGTGTACAATTATAAGTGAAGCTTCGATATATTCTGGAAATTCTACGTGTGTCTCATTCAATTCTATAATTTTTTTTAATTAATTTGAAAAAAAGAAATAGTATTGATACCGAAAATGATTACTTCGATGTTTCTATTCTTGACATCTTCTTGAATCAACCTGAGTTCAACAATGTGGACGTGATAGGAAGACATTATTGAAAATCACTTGTAGTAAGTTTTTAAATATTTGTTGAATACATTTAGTTTTATATAATTGCTACATGAAAATAATATTGTGTTACATATCTTTTACATAATAAGCTATGTAAAAGATATAAAATAATGTCAGTTGGACGACACTGTACATCATAGCGACCAAATTCTTTGATAAATTATAGCTCAAAAACATTTGATAAACAAGGATGAAATAATTCCTACAAATGGAACACACATCCTATATTTCGTGCGTCCGAATTATTTCGCGCAAACTATAAAACATGTTCCAGGCAGCCAAGATCTTTCAGATGCAATAACGCTTCAGCTAGCATTTTGGATATTTTGTCTCCGCCCATGCATTTCTGTTTTTTTACACT